GATGATTGTGTCATGAAATGACCCAGATGTGAGGTCCTGTGTCCCCACGTGAGGACACATTGTCCTTGAAGCCTCGGCCATTGCTAGGGCTGGTCTCCAGGGGTTACTACTCTGACCCTAAGACAGCCAGAAATTTAAAGAAGGGAAATGGTGACGTTTGGTACATGTCTTTTCTAAATGTAGGTGAGATAATTATCAAAGAGATTTTTTTACTAAGTGATCTTGATCAATATGTGGCATTATTTGTATAGAAATGAATTAGTTGGTTATTAAAGAGATGATTTCTGATTTGGGGAAAGCCAAAGGGTGAATTCCTTGAGGACAGTACTCTTACACGCAATGGTGGCATTATGTATGCCATTCTTTGATACATCCTCAACCCAACTGTGACACAGGAAACTGCCTGATTGGCCGTGTATACTGATGTGGAAAGTAAGGCAAAACATCCATTTTGCTTTTTCAGATACAATATTGTTGTGTAGTTACAACTGTGAAGATTTTAAATGTGTTTTTTTCTCCCCATACGTTTGTTGTATCATGCATGTTTGTGTAAGATCTCTAACCTTCTAAAGCCACAGCTATTTGCACTGATGTTGTCCCTATGGAATGCTACTTGATTCAGACACTGTTTGTAAACAGAATTTGACTGGGGTGCAGCACAGATTCCATAACACTGGCCAGTGCGGGCAAACCTCGAGGTGAAGGAACACCTTTCCAAAAAGAAAAAACCCTAAGAGGTGGGCCACCTCATCACTTTTCTAACGCTGCTTTCAGCATTTATACATCATAATGTCAAACAATGTTCAAAGTTTGGATGGGGATATTGAACAAACAACAGACCTGTCTTAAAAACAAAACACTTTTCAAAATGTGAATCCTGACCCCATCTTAAGTGTAAAGATATCTGGGGAGATCTGGCCCCGTGGACCAGCCCCTGACACCAGCCACCATCTGCCCGGAGGGGAGGGGCAGGTGGCCGCTCCCCAGAGCACGCTCAGAATGGCCCTGTACAGACCGCTGCCTTTACCAGATGCTTTGTTCATCACCTCAAGCTTCATGTGCGTTTGGCTTTTCATCTTCAATCTTCACGTTGTTTTCTGGAATGCTGGGATTTTTGCTTAGGAACTTAGGAGCAGAGGCTCTGCCCTCGTCCCTCTTGCCTGGAGCCCAGCCTGCCCGTGATCACTTATGTCCTTAGAAGTCTGCACCTTTCAGAGCACCCCAATGTCTCTGCAGGCTGCTGCTTGTGTACTTACTTCTCTTTCCCCTCCCTGCTTTTCTAAGTGTCCTTCTTTCCTCTCCCCCTCTTCCCCCTCTCCTCTCTACCATTTTTGCTTTCCTGGCCCTTTCCCTGTTCCTGTTGCCGGCACTTTTCTTTTTCTGGATGCCTGGGGGTTTCTGATGACCCTCCCAGCCCACAGGAGCCTGCCTTACTTTCAGGCAGCATCTTTCTATACCCTCAGTGTCTGCTGTTGATTTCTCCAAGCACCATCCAGCGAGGCACATGTGTTTGAAAGGGAACGGCAGAGACTGTCAGAGGTGACGTCACGCAGGACCGCGAAGTTAGGGACCGTGTCAGGAAGGGGAGCGGCATGGCATGTACAGAGACAGTCAACCCATTTTCTTCAACTCCTCGTTCACCTCTGAGTGGTGTTGGACGAGGGAGGGAACAACAATATCCTTTGCTTATTTTGTATCTTCATTCCTAGTGAGAAGATTCTGATTCTCAGAGTTTGTTATTGTCTTAATTTCAAAGACATTCATTCCTCATGGGTCCACACTGAGTTTCTAGACTGATGTTCCTATACAGCTAATGTTTTGCAAAAATGGGCTATGATTTATAGTCTTTTAAAAAAATATTTTAAAATTTACAGTTCTCTTGTGGCAGCTTCTCGCCCGTGGTTCCTCCCATTCTTGTCTATTCTCTTCAGAGCTGCCATATTGATTCTCCTAAATACCACTCTCATCCTGGCATTTTACTGAGGCTTCCATGACACCCCCTTCCTTTGGATGAAGTCTCCTCTCTTTTTCATGTTAATGTGCCCTAATTGTCTGCTTTTCTAGTCTATTAGCTCCTTGGAGCTGCTCCTTTGAGCCTTCTTACAACTTAGCTGTGCATGGGAGTGGCCTTTCAGATGGACTGGCCTTGCACGCTCCCCAGCTGGTCCACACATTGCTGATGGCAGCTCTTTTGCCGTGGTGGTGAGGCTTTAATCGAGAATCATGAGGCAGAGGACACAGGCATTGTTTCTACTAAAATTGATATTAAGTAAAAGAGAAAATAGTAAGGGTAATATGGAATCGAGTCAAATGGGGACATTTATATATATTAATAAAACATAAGCAGTTTCTTATTTAATGGGGAGTTAAATATCCATTTTAAAATATTCCAACCTCAGTCTGAGATGACCCTCGGGGGCTTTGTAGCTTCTTAACCTTTTGAAGTTTCCCTCAGTTTTCTGGAAAATACGACAGTGATTTACGGTTTATACATCAGCTAATTTATGACCTCACTGGGAGAGGATGAGAGAGCTCAGCTTCCAGACCTGGAGGGGCCAATGTCTGTGACTTCAGCTTAGCCTACTCAAGGTCACTGCTTTGTTGCTGTGGTTTCCGCTCCCGACCCTACACTGCTTGAAACACGTGGGTGTCATGTTGAATGGTATATATTCCTTTAGAGGGTGGAATGCCTACCCAGGCAAGGGTTTACCCTCCATAGTAGAAGGTCCTGATGCTGTTTGCTTGGCTGTCATGGGCCAGGGTGGTAAAATACGCTTTTCGCCTTTGATGTAACTACAGGCATAGTTACAGCCTTTCAGGGTGTATGTCCCTGGATCCTGCTGCTGGAACTAGTTTCTGGTTTAGATTTCAGATTCTAAAGGGAGTCCTGTTGTCCCCCAAGCTGTGTGAACTCTCTATGGGCATTCTGTGCCTTGAGTGTCGCCTTTTCACAAGAAAGGGACTTGCTTTTGAAGTCTGAAGTTTGGGCCTGGAGTGTCTGGCTGTCCAGGTTGCAGGCTGTCCCTGCCTGGATTCAGCAGGGATGTTCTCTTCCTGTGGTATTTGTCGTGGGGTTGTGTCAGGGCTTCTGGATTCTTCCAATGTGTTCTTTGGCCTCTGTGTCCTTTGCCGTTTAAGAGGCTGGCCATTCTCTGTAGGCGTGACTCTTGGATGTCCTAGCTGAGAGGCCACATCAGCTAATTTATGATCTCACTGAGGGAGGATGGGGGTGCTTAGCCTCCAGACCTAATTAGCAGCCCTGTTTTTAATTTAATTCTGACACATGGGAGTCTGTAGGAATTGCTGGGTATTCATGGCAGTAACCGGTGGACCTGTCCAACTTTATTAGTTAAATTTTGATTAAGAGATAAACAAATACAAAGAAATTTTAGTACTAATTGTAAAATAGATTTCAGGGCTCAAGAGCGGAAGTTGTTGTATTCAAGCATGCTGTTTAATAAAGAAGCCCCAACTAACATATTTGTTTCCACACCCAAAGGAGATATTATTGGTGTTGTGAGAAAGGAATTGGCTGCTCCTAGGAATTTTTCCTGGGCTGAGTATGCCTTCTTACCTTGGGGAGAGCTCGCTTACTCCTCTTTTGGCCTCAAGGATTTGCATCTGCACCTCCTCCTTTCCAAAGTATGAAGTCACAGACTTTCAAAGACTCAGCTGGGACCTCATAGGGATCGGTGATGCTGCAGTGCATGAGTGTGCCTGGGCTGTGGGCGCCTTCCCGGACAGTTCTGAATAAGTTCTGAATATGTTGGATCACCCACTTGCTTCCCATGAACTCACCAAAGGCACCTCATGGAGGCCAGGAGCCTCATAGAGAGATATTGTCACCCAGCCACTGCCCTCTCACCTCTGAACCTCAGGACTTTCAAATGGCATTTCAGCAGATAGAAAAATCTTATAAATTTCCAGATGTAATTCAGTTGATCTTCTGCAGGCAGATGGCCTTTAGATTATTACTAAGTAGACAGTGTAGGAATCATGGCATAGAGGGTTAGCCAGAATGTTCCAGAATGTTCTGGGAACTGCTTCTCCCCCTTTTCTCATCATCCTCCTCAGCTGCCACTCAAGTGTTTGTGTTGGGATATAGGCAACACCAGTGTGTCTGAGGTTTACGGCAGCCGGAAACTGCAGACTGAAGAGAGTAGGAAGACACTACAGGAACTAGGACAACAGAAAAAGCATGAGCCCCCAAATTGTAACATATGAAGTGACAGGCATCATTAAATAGTAATGGACACATTTCTTTTTTGAATATGAAATGGAAAGTAACCCATTTCTTCAATTTCTGGCATACATGGTTCTAGGGAGGCTGGCGCTTTGTGGTAGTTTTTCATCACATTCCGATGTCAAGTTTTCAGGATTTTTACGTGTTAAATTGAATGAGCAGATTGGATAACTTTATGTGGTTTTAGTAAAGTGAATCATTTTCATGGTTTACAATTCCTTTTTGAAATAAAGTTATCATATTGTGCATCAAATAAATTAATACGTACATAAAAATACAAGCTCAAAATCTAGCATAGTTTATTCTATACCTTCTGCCTTTATCTCCTATTTTTGAAATGCATTACTTAAGGTACTATATATTCCCCAAAACAGAATGAAAGAGCCATCATAAAACGGGTAGATTCACACAACCTGTCTGAATTTGATGTTCAAACTGCTAAAAATAATTCAAACAGGTGTGAAATGATGGTCCTTTTATTAGTTTCATGAGATTTGTTCTCATATATTAACAATATTTGAATTTTTATTTCTTCTTTTCTGAAGAAAGAAGTCCATTGGTGCATGGGATACGAGGCTAGGGCTGTCACATTTGTGATTTCCAAGTTGTTCTGTTGTTCTGTGCTAAGCCTTGCCAAAGCAGCTGGCTGTGCAGGGCATTCATGGAACTTTCCAGAATCGATAAAAAATGACCATGGCCTCTTTTAAAACGGGTTAATAGAATCTCTGTTTTTTTTTTTTTCTTTTCTTTTTTGAAGCACTGGTGTGTGAGAGTTGGGCTGCCCTGCCTGAGTGACTGTGGATCCTTTGTGTGATACATGATCAAGGAAACACTCCATCGCTTCCCTCCTTGGTAAGTCGGACGCTCCAATGGGAAATGAAGAAGCCAACAGTTTTATAGATTGAGGTACTGTGATGGTTGATGAGCATCACTTGTATCTGCTGTTAAAGATGGCAGTGAATGAACGAGTAGGCTTCCAGAAAGAAAGTGAAAGCACAGAGAAGTTAAGTAATCAGCTCAAGATCTGACAAGCGGTCAGAGGCAGAGCTGTGATGCGAACCTATGTTCTAAGCCCTAACCCAGTACTACCTCTTAGCACTAAAAATAGCTCCTGAGAATAAGGACAGACACACTTTTATTCTGTACTGGAAATACTCAGGTCCTTAAAGAAAAGCTCACAATAAATAGTGAGAAATCAGTTTTTCAAACAGCAGTCTATATCAGGAGATGGTAAACTTTTTCTGAAAATGGTGAGGTAGTAAACATTTTAGGATTTGCTGGCCATATCATCTCTGTTACACCAACTCAGCTCTGTGTTGTAGCCTGAAGCAGCCACAGATGATATATGTAAATGAGCAAACGTAGCTGTGTTCCAGTAGAACTTATTTACAGAGACTGTTGTCAAGCTGAGCTGGACCTGCCCCACAGGCTGTAGTTCACTGAGCCCTGATCTACATGCAGTGCTCAAAGATCCCAGTGTAGAGAGTGAGAGTGTTTTAGTGGCCAGTAGGTATGAGTCCTTTAACAAAGCTTAGCTTGGATGCTCAGAATTTAATCATAACCCACTGTTAATGAAGTCTACTGTAGCTGCAAAAACCTACTCCTTGGGGTGAGTGCATTTGGTGTCCCAATGCTTTCCATGGTCGGCATGCCTCTAGTGTATTAGTCTAAGTCCAAGCCCCTAGACTACCGCTCTGCTCAAAACAGGGCCTGATCAAGAATATTTTGGTAATCCAGAATGTATAGCTCATTTACAAAATAAGTTCAGATAGCATTTCCTATTTTGGTCTCCATATAATTTCTAAATGTGACATTTTTATTCTGTAGCCTTATACATGCTGCTACTTATACATATTAGGGCAAATATGCAATTATCTTGGGCTGTCTTATAATTATGTTGCACAGAAGTGTTCTGGTATCAAATCTTCATCTTTTATTCTGAGCAAAAGCAGATGTTTACAAGAGTCAAGTTTGAACAAGATTGACACACTTAAATCATGGCCATACCCTTGGCCACATACATCAGATGAAGTGGGTTTGTTTTTTGTTTAACTTTTTTTGTTTAACTTTTTCTTACAAAAGGATACTTCTGACACCTCAAGGCTTCTTTGACTCTCTATCTCACTGCTTATCATCTAGCAAGACGGATAGAGCAAAGCCAATTAATTTGTGTTTCTTGAAGGAGTTTAAGCAGGGACCTGTCCTATTCTTTCATAGAAATATGTAATTGTAGCAAGCCCGTGAGCCTGATGTAGGATCACTTTTGAAGATGCGCCTTTTTCCAGAGCCACTCGTCCCTTGGTACTTGTTCCACAAGTAACGGAAAAGTGTTCTTCACTTTAATGGCAATGATATAAAAAGTAAAATTCAGATTATAAAAGTACTGGAAAGCTGTGTGTGGTGCCTTAGTAACTGGAAAAAGCAGGTTGAAGAATAAAGAATAATATATTCAGTATAATCCCATTCATCTTAAACACACACACACACACACACACACACCGTCTCTGCACACAAGTGCCTGTGCGCTACAAAGTCCGCTAGAACATACATCAGTACATACCGAACTCTCAGTAGATTATCTCTGGGGTTGAGGGCGTTTGCCCTTTACGAGCCATTTATTCACTCTCTAAAGTTTTCTCAGGAATGTCATAGTTTTGCAGTTTAAAAATATGAAAAAAAGGATTAAAATAGTGAATGCTACTTATGGAAACTATGTAAAAGAAGGGGAAAATTCACCCATAATGCCTCCACCAAAGCCAATCACTGCTGTCAGTTAACGTAGTCTTTTGTGAGTGTTTTACAGAGTTGAAATAACACTAGACATAAACTTTTGCCTATATCATCTTATTGAAAATTGTTAATAAATCTCATTTTAATGCATCATAATATTCTATCATGTAAAGACACTATAATGTAATTTAACTGCTTCTTCTTTGCTGGAGGTATATATTATTTTCAGTTAACAAAAATCATAGACAATGTGAAGGGATCGTGACAAGGGGAGTGTAGCAGACACCTGGATTCCACTGCTGCTTTCTGGTTTTTTACATCTCACACTATCACTACCTTATGAAGAGTAGAAATTTTGGAGCATAAAGTAGATGCTTCATAATATCAGCTATTATTATAAAGCTTTTTTTTTAAATTGAAGGTTAATTCATTAAGTCAGAATAGCTGTAGTTGCTTTGCTATTTCAGAGCCAGTGAGTTTTAATCAGATTGCCGGTCGGCTTTGCAGAAGTGTTCTAGACATTTATACTTCACCAATAATATGTTAGAGAGTTTGTTTTGCTAAAACCTTACTATCATTATCATCATTAATTTTTTAATCAATTTAATAGTATTGCTTCCTTTTATATGTTCTATTGTTTAGTCATTATGGTATTTGGTAGATTTGTAAAAACTTTTTGTGATAATTAGCCATTTTTTGAGAAGGAGGAGACAGAGGGAGAGAGAAAAAGTAGAAAGGGAACTTACATGTGTGAAAGAATTGTTAGTCCTTATTTTATACCCATTTAGTTCTTGAGATTCAGCATTTTCTTACAGATATTAACAGAATTTATTTTAAAGAATATTAACCGTGGGCTTCCCTGGTGGTGCAGTGGTTGAGAGTCTGCCTGCCGATGCAGGGGACACGGGTTCGTGCCCCGGTCCGGGAAGATCCCACATGCCACGGAGCGGCTGGGCCCGTGAGCCATGGCCGCTGAGCCTGCGCGTCCGGAGCCTGTGCTCCGCAGCGGTAGAGGCCACAACAGTGAGAGGCCTGCTTACTGCAAAAAAAAAAAAAAAAAAGAATATTAACCCTTTGTTGTCATTTCCCCCCACTCTATTTGCTTGTTAACTTTATCCTTTTAAGCTTAACGAAGTTTATTTTAGTGTTGCCAAATAGTTCCTTCATAATTGTCTCACCAGTGCTTAGAAACTTAATAAAATTTTTCCTTTACTTTCATCTGATGTTATTAAAAATATTCAACTCTTTCATTTAGGGGAGAGTTCAGTTATTTAAGAATAGCTATCATTTTTTGTAATTCTTCTCATAGTTTTATTGTGCCTCTCTTTTAGCTCTCTGACAAAAGTTATCTGACAATGTTAATCTAAGGAATATGTTCAGACAATCAAAATATTTGTAGGAATGAGAGATCTCAACGACACATTGCTTCATCCTACAAGTAGAGACCAAGTTTACACCCAGACAACTGAAATTCTTTCATTCTTTTACTTTCCTCTTTTGGTCAGGGAATGGTTAACTTTTGCATTTTACCTATCTTTTTAACAACTGTATTTCACATTTTTTATTTAATAGAACTTAACTCATTATGCTGAGAAGTATTAAGTCATATCTCAGTATTTTTCCTCTTGTTTCATTTCTGTTCCTAACTTTTGGTGTTTGCATTAAATGTTCTGTGGTGCATCTGAAAGACCAAGGCAACGCTGGTTGAATCTCATGTGTATTGGTTGATGTCTTCACTTGTTGACTTTTAAAGCACTTACCTAAAATATTAATTTCATTATTAATTAATGGTTTCATAGTTTATAAGTTCCAAAAGATAGAGAATTAGCTAGATTTCTCTTTCTGAGATGACGTGAACCTGAAAAGATTGAACCCCAACTCAAGTCTCCATCTTTCCTTAGTTTTCTAGATTTGTTGGCTGTAAAATTCTGAGTTTTGCTGTCATTGTTTCAGGTGGTGCTGCTGTGCTGATAGGAATTCTATTTTGTGGTATTTGCAATGCATTTCTATGTATATTATTGACGCAAGGTACAGCTGTTGCTTAAACACACTGCGTGGTTGTATTTGGGGATCAAGATTTAGCCTGTCATTCTCAATAAAGTCTGGAATACTAAAGCTGTGGTCTCCACATCTTATTATTCTTGTCCAATTGTCTAGTCAGCCGGATGGAAAATCTCCATGAGGCGATCTGGAAAGGCCCCATGCAGATTTGACCTGTTTTGTCGTGTGCATCTCACTCCACATTAGCTAAGTCCATGGACAGGAGAATTGTCTGCTTCCATTATCCACGCGAGGAGGCATTGGAGTTCCCGTTGGGGAGCTGGGGAAACCTTGCTTTCTCTCCTGTTCTCTTCCCTGTTGGAATTTTGGCCTTTTTTAATTGCTTGTTTAGGTGAGTAACCGCCAAGTGTGTTATTGTCCCGGCTTTGTGACTACCATAAATATTTGTGAGTCACAGATGTGTGGTGAAGTTCAGAATCCATGTTCTTCCCTTCGTTTTGTGTTTAAGTCGGGCTGGGAATGGCATATGTGTACTGTTCATTCTCAGACACCGATTTGAGGGGCAGAGCTGTGTGGGGTTAATTGCTTGGATTTGAAGCTTTATGTGTGTGTGTGTGAGGATACTGCCCCCTTGATTAAACTGTGCGTAAGATATTTTTTTGGCAGAAATCTCCAAAGGGCATAAAAATGACCCCATGTTTGGATTTTTGGATTTCAGGGGACTTGAGGTTTTCCTGCCTTGTGGTCTCCAGATCAGAGTATTGGAGAGGCTTCTATAGCTGCAGGGTTACAAACCTAATCAGTTCATGCTTTATCCACTGGGGCCTTTCATGCGGTTTTCATGTGTGTTTGTGTCTGTTTTAGCCTCCCAGGCCACAAAGGGAGCAGAGTCATTTTGTTTCATTTGCTTTTGCATAAAGCTTGGGCAGTAACCACTCTTGGTTAAACCAAAGCAGAAAAAGCAAAGGTTGGAGAGATGGTCAGGAGGTTCTGGGAAGTAAATACCAGCATATTCTCGTATAACAATGTCTCAAAATAGTGATCATATCTTCCACTTCCAGCATTGAGGAATTAGGTGGGTATATCTAAATTGTTTATCATTGCTCAGAATTTTTTTGGGG